GACATGATTGTGAGCACGGTTTCTAGCGACATGTTCTGGCTTCGATGGTCCTTTCGCAGCATAATAAATTACAGTAAAGTACGTTTATAACGAACACGCCTAAAGCCAACTGACGGATATAACGAACTGATTTTTTTGTCCCGACTATTTGCTATAGTTATGCTGTTTTTATGCTTATATCGAACTACGGTTATAACAAACTAAAGTTAGTGGTCCCTTTGAGTTCGTTATAACCGTAGTTTACTAGAAGTTTACTGTAATGGAATTTTACTTGAAAAACTTGGACAAGACTGATATTGCTGAGAGTTGGTTTAAACGACGGCTTTAACTGAAAGCAATATCACGAAGTCGCAAGTTGAATGCGAGAGGATTCGTCGACATGCCGTGGACGTTTACATGGTTCTGACAATCCAAAAATACCCAGGCAGGGTTGATCTGGATTATACCTGATGCATAGCGTCACAGTCCCCTGAGCCGTGATGCCCTTATTCATGTTGTCACAATTCTCTTATCTATGACGTCACAGTACCTGTATCCATGTTGTCACAGTACCCGAATTTATGTAGTCGCAATACTCTTATCTATGACGCCATAGTACCCTGTTGCATGTTGTCACAGTCCCCTAATTTATGTTGTCACAATTCTCTTATCTATAACGTCACAGTACCTGTATTCTTATTGTCACAGTACCCTTATTTATGTTGTCACAATTCTCTTATCTATGACGTCATAGTACCCTATGGCATGTTGTCACAGTCCCCTAATTTATGTTGTCACAATTCTCTTATCTATGACGTCATAGTACCCTATTGCATGTTGTCACAGTCCCCTAATTTATGTTGTCACAATACTCTTATCTGTAACGTCACAGTACCTGTATCCATGTTGTCACAGTCCCCAAATTTATGTTGTCACAATACACCTATCTATGAGGTCACAGTACCCTATTGCATGTTGTCACAATTCTCTTATCTATGAGGTCACAGTACCCTATTGCATGTTGTCACAATTCTCTTATCTATGAGGTCACAGTCCCCAAATTTATGTTGTCACAATTCTCTTATCTATGAGGTCACAGTACCCTATTGCATGTTGTCACAATGCTCTAATCTACGACGTCACAGTACCTGTATCCACGTTGTTACCACACAGTACCCTCACCCAAAACATCCTAATACCTTCAATGAAGAAGTCACATTCCCCTCACCCAATAAGGCATGTTACCCTCACCCAAGATGTCACAATACCCTCACCCAAAAAGTCAGATTTCCCCCACCAGAGAGTTCACAATACCCTCACCCAAGAAGTCACAATACCCTAATACATGTTGTCACAGTTCCTTATTTCATGCCACAGTAAACCTGCAGTCAATGTTTCCTCACCAGAGAGTTCACAGTACCCTCACCCCAGAAGTCACATTACCCTCACCCCAGAGTCACATCACCCTCACCCAAGAAGTCACAGTACCCTCACCAGAGGATTCACATTACCCTCACCCAAGAAGTCACATTACCCTCACCCCAGAAGTCACACTACCCTCACCCCAGAAGTCACATTACCCTCACCCCAGAAGTCACAGTACCCTCACCCAAGAAGTCACATTACCCTCACCCCAGAAGTCACAGTACTCTCACCAGAGAGTTCACATTATCCTCACCCAAGAAGTCACAATACCCTAACCCAAGAAGTCACATTACCCTCACCCCAGAAGTCACATTACCCTCACCCAAGAAGTCACATTATCCTCACCAGAGAATTCACATTAAGCTCACCCAAGAAATCACATTACCCGCACCAGGGAATTCACATTACCCTCATCCAAGAAGCAACAGTACCCAAAACCCGAGAGTTCACAGTATCGTCACAAGGGAGCTCACAATACCCTCACCAGAGGGTTCACAGTACCCTCACCCAAGAAAGCACAGTACCCTCTTCACCTCGAAGTACACGCTAATCTATACAGTGTATTAATCTTCCCAAATAGATGCGTATGTGATACAAATGATGTGTCTGTCGCACAAGACAATATGTCTACTTTGTTTACAAAACTAATATCAACGTTTCCCACTCATCAAGACAAAGGGAAATCTAATCTCCGGATCAAACCCCCGCACGCATGAAATTAATTCCCTGTATTTTACTCACCTCTACAAGATGCGAAACACGGAAAATGCAGAGGTAATATCTCAGATAAGGTCATTAAAATAGCAGGGTTAAAACGTGCATTATAACTCCGAGCAAAACTGACGTCCAATGTGACCATTAATTTCCACTCGAACGGGTACTCCCACGATTGCCTAAGCAACGGAGCGTTCGGTAAATAACTCCATTCGATTAAAGGCATACATCTTCTTCTGCACGGAGATAAATGGAGGAATTATTGTTTAGTTAGGGTTATGATGAAGAGACTTTTTCCTTGTTCTGACAAGTCATCCATCAAGATGTAAACAGGATCATACACACAGATCTCAAGGTCAGGCACCGATATGGGTTTTGGATCTTGTAGAATGCAGAAAAGCGTGTAATTTGGCTACGAGGTGATACACATATTTAGAATACACCTTCAAAAGGTGTCGAAATGTTTGATTTCAGATTATTGATATCAATTATCAGTTTAGTGATTAACTATTAATGTGAGCAAAACCAATTCTAACGAGCAACAAGTGGTACGTTTTTTTATGCCGATTGTGCCGATTTAGCAATATTGTAGTCATATCACGACGGATGACACCAGGCATTGGCTTCGTTGAGTCGAAACCGGGTGGAGTATCGATTGATGTAACTGTTTGTCCATTTTCTTCCTAGTGGCGTGTGTATTTTGGAAGAGGCGAAATGCCGATTGGTATAAAAAACATACATACAACAGTCGCAAAGATGGCTGATGCTTATCATTTGGACGAAGCTCTGAACATGGTTGTGGAAGCGTACTGTCATGGAGAGAAAAGTAAACGCACTTGCATGTGTACAGTGACCACGAACTTGCAGTATTGATACAGAAAATGTATATTTCTTCTCCATGTTAAGATTTTGACGTATTCAATCTACTTCTTGCTGACTTTATCGCTGGGCATTAGTCATTGTACCTGAGCTTTCGGCCAAGGGCATTCAATCAAATATTGATTAGTGGTGCTGGCAGTTAAATAATGCCATGCATTTCTACCACGACGCGGCTTGGTACGGCATGAAATAAGTGACACGTGGAGAGCGACTTGGTCAACGATGCAAGCCTGGAACATATCCTATATCCACCACCTGTTGTCCTCCAGTCATGATTCATGATCCACAGTTCACTTCCCACCCTCCACTCGTCAGTATCTGCTACCCACTACTCACCACCCACTACCAACTATTCACTACCCTCTATCCATAACCCAATACTGTAGTATCCACCATCCACTATCACCTACCCAGTCTAACTATCAACTATCTACCATATACCTTCAGCCATCCAAAACCCATAATCCACCATCTACCATCCACAATCTGCTACACACTATCCACCTTCAACTATCCAGTCAACCATCCTCTCACCACTATCCACCTTCAACTATCCAGTCAACCATCCTCTAACCTCTATCCACCTTCAACTATCCAGTCAACCATCCTCTAACCACTATCAACCTTCAACTATCCAGTCAACCATCCTCTAACCACTATCCACCTTCAACTATCCAGTCAACCATCCTCTAACCACTATCCACCTTCAACTATCCAGTCAACAATTCTCTAACCACTATCCACCTTCAACTATCCAGTCAACCGTTCTCTAACCACTATCCACCTTCAACTATCAAGTCAATCATTCTCTAACCACTATCAACCTTCAACTATCCAGTTAACCATCCTCTAACCACTATCCACCTTCAATTATCCAGTCAATCATCCCCTAATCTCTATCCACCTTCAACTATCCAGTCAACCATCCCCTAACCACTATCTATCATCAACTATCCACCATCCAGAACCAACAATGTAGTATCCACCATCCACTATCACCTACTCAGTCCAACTATCCACCATCTACCTTCCATAATCTGCTGCAAAATATCCACCATCAACTATCCAGTCAACCATTCTCTAACCACTATCCACCATCCACTATCCAGTTCACCATCCACTATCTACCTTCCATTATCTGCTATCCACTACCACACTACCACGATCTACAATCAACGTTCGACAATATTTGGAGAGTTCTTCCACCTAAATTAGCATCTTTCAGAAGAACACGAACGCGGTGGGATCGATTCTCCTCCGGACTCCCTACAGGGAGGATGGTCCAGGGTGTACGTTACATGCATGTTCCACTGCCTGTTGTCTTAAATACACATGGTTATTAAGTAAGTACTACGGAGACCTCAGGAGGTGTTTATAACATTATGATCACAGCAAAACCAGCATATTCAGTAATGGCCGTAACTTGTGTCCGATTAGCAACACCTAATAACAGCTATGGCGCAACGAGTGAATACTGTGATAACAAAATACTGAATTGTAAGTGTCGATATGAGTCCCGGGGTGGTTAAAGCGTTAACACATTACACTGTAGACCATGTTCGATTGCCTGCGCGGGTACATTGTGTTCAAAAGCTGTTCGGGTGTATGGATGAAATATCCATATTCACGTTATGAACCATAATACATAATAGGGATAAGCAGTTATTAGCTCAGGACATATATACTACATACTATATACAGTACTAGAATGAAATATCTACATTATACATCCAGTAGAAGTGTTATCGATGAAAACTAGAGCCATAAGACATATATGCTCAGTGGTGAAATAAACAACGATTTGTAACCTGCGCCGTGATATCTTCGTTCGAAATGGGGTCATTTGCAACCCACATTTAGTGGCTCTAGTAGGCGGCAGCAATAAAGTCCAAAATGTTAATCACAAATCGATTTCCCAACTCATATTACTTTGCAAATGTGGAAACACCTTTGCTCATTTCCATTTCTCTTGTAAGCCTTAACAGAAAGCTGCCTCACATACGAGGTATTTATATCCATACACATGACCGTCATGTAGATTTTGTGAAATATACAATGATGTATTGATTTTTATCCTTGCCCCAAATCAGGACTCGGATTCAACATTACAAGCTGTTTGATTGAAATGGGAGGCCAACACGCGCTGCAAAAAGGACAATTTACACCAGTAAAAGTCATCTGTTTCAATATCCCGATGTGTTGATGGGGCCGCATGGCGTCACTTACACGTGTCACTACTGTAAAGAGTTGCTGTTTGTGCCTTCGTGGTTGGCGATGATCAAAATTTTCATAAATCAAATCTCCTTCGTCGACTCTTCAGCAGTGGAATTAAAAGGCTGCCATTTGTGTGGTGCACAGGACCTGGCATGTCACGAAAGAAAACGGAAGAAATAGAGAGTCATCATTGCAGAAATGTCAACCAATCTTGAAATTCTAAGCCGCCAATTTGTTAACTGTGTCGGTGCAGCTGTCCTTTTTTTCGAAAAAACTAAAACCAACTTTATATGCCACCACTGAATTGATTTTCCATTTTTCACGAAGGAAACACTGAAAATGAAATAGCTGGAATTAGTCCCATTCAAACAGCACCTACGAACAACGTATTGGTATTGACTGGAGCTGATCATCTTCTAAATTCAACGGTTGTGTTCTGAAGGGATCACAGTCGTTTTTAGACCACTACTGGCAGTGATATTTGGATTCCAAAGCCAACGGTGTGAGAGAATCTATTGGTGCACAATCATCAAATAAGAGATAAAGCGAGAAAACGGCTCCAAAAGCATCAACAACTTGGCGTGAAATGGACATGACATAGGATCTCAAATACCTTCATACAATATTTATGTCTAAAAGCAAGGATCCGCCAAGCTGTGAAATTCCCTGGCATTCACACGTTCACTCCTCCCAGCTTGACGCGAAATTATCTTGCATGGAACCAAACATCAGATTAATTGTGTTATTTTCCTCTTAATCGTGCGGGCCGCATAAAAAGAGCATCTGCGAATCGAGATACAATACCAGCGCTTTACATAAGTTGGCTGAGAGTCTTCGACCACTCATCGTGTTCTCGACCGCGTCCTGAGTGACTGAATATCGCTGCTCAAAACCTGCCCAGACTCACTACACCACTCGCCGATCATGACGCTAGAGGATAGAGGATATTACTGGGAGCCCGAGAGGAAACGAGAGCAAACACTGTTATCGTAGACTCTCTTAATTCCATTACTTGCCTCTACCCGTGGATTTCGACCAGGAATCGCATGACATAACAGGCAGGGAACACGCATGCGCGTGGAGGACTTCCAGATTTCACACGAGCACGTTGGTTTGTTTTCTGTGACACGAATTTGACCACTGAATCGCCATTATATCGTCACGATGCCTTGGACGATGGAGCTCTGGAAATTTGGATTTACCTGGTGTGTGATATTTCTTCTTCGAACATGTGCTGCGAGAAACACGGAAATACATATTGGTAAGTACATAACTTTACTTTTTCCGATTTGTTTGAGTTAACCCTTTTTGTCCTAAAAGGAAAGGAATGGTGTATCTGTAGTGTTATATTGTTATGCTGATGTCGAAACATCTTTGTTATTTTGTGTCATTCAATTAGTTGATTAAACTAAGGTATCCCCTTCCAATATGCTATAATATGTCCTGAATGAGAACAGACGTTTCGTATACTGTATTACAGATCAAGAATCCATATCACATCACTACAATAGTACTGTGATACTCAGGTAATGATTACACAAACACATAAAGTGATTATTATTCGACAAATCTGCAATATCATTTACGAATGTGTTCCAATGGGCTTGTTGTGCTCCACAATCAACAATGCTTGATAAATCACTTGTGGAATATTAGAGTATAATCAATACTCATACGCCTACACGTGATACAGCTATAATTATCCATCTGTTTGGTGTATGCCACGGAAGCCTAAGCATGTGGAAAACACAGATTCAGAAAGGGGTGTGAACATCATGTTCGACCATGGGTTGATTCCCTGGCGCTCGCTGTTCCTGCACCACCAGCACTCCCTACAGGAACTGATGACCTTTGACATGGGGCTTCCTGTCCCATCATTTCTAATTAATCATACTGTGTGCACTACCCGTGTTTTCACACTGACGTTCTTTCTTTCCAGGTCTCATGTTTGACGAGAACTCCATCGATTTAGAGACTATAGTTGAGAAAGCAATACAGAGATATAACAATAAAACTGAGTCAATTCTACGACTAGAAAGTCATACCCGGCCAGTGAACGTTAAAGACAGTTTCAACTTTACCAATGCCGGTAAGTGGTTTTGTTCTCTCTTGGGAGACATACATCCCTGACGTTACAACATGACGTCATTAAATCCACAACACTAAAGGTATCTTCTCATATCTACAGATACCACAGAAATCTATTTCGATACAAACGCTTTGTAATTAAGTTACTATCGACAGTGGTTCAGCCTTCACGAATACTGTTTTATCACCGTTGAGATTAATATAAATTTTTGATGATATCGGAACCTCCCTCAGGGCATTAAAGATGTTGGGAAAATGACTAACCTCGGAATTACCGCTGCGGCCCTTATACTGGGAGATCAGAATTTCAATCCCCTTACGCCAATGGCGCTAATGAAAAGCATTAAAATCATCTGGGTTCCACATTTCAGAAGGGACCTAGATCCATTGTCCAGTACTGAGGAGGGCAACTATCATTCCAGGCAAGGCATCACAGAGTTGTTACTCTGATTATAACCATAACAATGCCATGGAATCGCGTTACGTTTATGCCCTCAAATTAAAAGAAGTACCGGTAAGGCGAAACAAAATGTACGTTTCGTCCAAAGCCCATAATTGGACAAAACTCGTATTCAAGCCTTTTGGTCTTTCTAATGGTTTTGGTTTACGCTTCTTTTATGCGTGCATTCGTTCAGTTTCGATTTTCTCAGTAGTCTGACACGGCCTGAAGTGCCTTGTTCACAATTGATCTACTAACAGTTTCGGGTTTTTGTGTTGATGCCAACTGCCTTTTAATTTTACTCGACGTGGGCAACATTGGTTTCCCCACCCTGGTCGTTTAAGTAAGAAGGCACCTGACCCGGCCGTGTTAGAAACAGATCAATTACTATCATTATAACATCCCAGCCACAATCTCTGAAATTAATCATCGGGATGATATACGTCCCTCTTTGACCTGACAAGGTATTTTGATTTCTACTGAACAATATTTCGCGATCGCAATATTTAATGCCATAAGCAGGTTTTCGTTGTTTCTGTGTTAGAATTTAATAAAGTGTGCGTTCTACTGACGTTCATTGCAATGCAGTAGAACAAATCGTATATTATTACTTGACGTTACTAGTTTATTTCATAAAGATTATTCATATTAAAGCATGATTTAATTCTATCTAATCAGAGTTTGCTTCGTTTTCATTCCACAAAGTGATTAAATTCATCGTCTAAATTGTGTCCAATCCGTACATCATCCTTGAACATTTTTTTATAATTATCAAGGCGTTCTTGAATCACATCTTTTTACACAAATTCAACCATAGTACAATCATTTCACGAAAATTAATGGCACTTCAACTCGAATGTAACCCTAATTCATTTGAAATCATCGATTTTATTTAAGTGTTTGATAAACCAAACTGATTCATTCAAAGCTGTTTTGCAATGATCAAGGACTTGGAAACTTTATCGCATTTTTCCATTCACAACGCTTACATTGATTAATCAATTCTACATTCATAAAATACAGCCTTGTTGCCCAAGCCTCAACTAAACACTATTTGAGTCTGACCAATCACTGGATTCCTTTACGTCATTTAACATCGGCAACTCACTTTATATAAATCACATAACAATTATCATACCACGATCAATTAACTGCCAATAGGTAGTCAAGTACGCATTTATCAATTAAGGGCTGAGACTAGAGCTGAAATGCCTCATATTTGGAGAGTTTCTGGTACAGTGATGTCCACATTGCTCTCGTTAAACATTAAATATTGGGAAATATACATCAAACACGAAACCTTCACAGTCAATTTGTCACATATTCTTTGGTCTCTAAAAAAATGGTATTAAAGTCAAAAAAGAATTTCTTGGTTGCTGTTCATTTGGCATTGCCTTTTGCGAATTTCCTTGTGCGTTTCCTTGTCTTCCGTTTCTTTCATGATAACAACTTTCTTTGTCTTGGATTATTATATTTACCGTGGCAACTACTTGTTTGTCTATTTGATAGAAGAGTCTAAATAATGATTAAGATGATTTAGACGACTTGGCAATGAGTGCCCCCCTCAATTAAGATGAAGCAAAGTTCATGCAATTCATATTGTTTATGGATATATGACGTGGACGCAGACGTTTGAGGACAAGAAGAATTCACAAGATTTTGTAACATAAATTTGTATTATATATATGATGCAAAGTATACTGGGCATAGTGAAGATAAATGTCCTTTGGTCTCCATTACCAGATGCATAAAAAACTCAAAAACTTAACCACTAATACCTAAATATTATTATGACAGTTAAGTACAATAATTCTGTTGTGGTTTTCTGTTGAAAATAATGCGTTTAATGCTTCAAATTGACTCTACATTTCAGTCCAAACAGCCATAAGTCACTCCAAAGGTTCAGATAAATATATATATCTGTCTAAGTACACATGAAGAACAGAAAGCGCTAAGCTTATTACAGAAGTTACGATCTCCTTGCTTGTAATAAACTGTGAGAGAAGTCCATATATAACATTGATGTCACAAGTGCATTGCATTGATGTGAACTTTTCTTCTTGTTCTCTCACATGTACATGTAGGATGGTTCTCAAACAAATCAACATCGCTTCTTTTTTATTTGAACTGGCATTATCACGTAACGACTGTTGGCGAAACATTACACCGAAACTGACCCTAATATATCGCATCATAGCATTGGGTCTCGCTTTGAGGTATTGACGTCAGCGCTATTGAACGTTACAACTTAAATGATACCACGTTAATCTGGACGGTGTCAGACTGGATTAGAGAGTTTCTTGATTAATGACCCATTGAGTATCGATGCAAAAGTTTTTTGTTTAAATCGGTAAATCTTTCGAGTGCAAAAGATTCCCTTTTAAAAGCATCAGATAATGTGCGAAGCATCTCTTTTAGTTAAATAATGACACTCTGTAATCTGTCTGTACAGAGCACTTCTTTCAAACTAGTAGACAGTTTATTTTAACCATATGCATCCTTGATTAATGAAGGACAATATTATGTTAATGTTAAAATTATTGTTTCGTGTGTTTTTGATGCATGGTGTGGTATATTTGTGAACAACTCGACAATTCGCTGTGAACAGTTGTGTCCCTGAGGCGTTTCAGGATCCAATGATTGTGGGTGGGAATCTCAGACTGGCCCTGCTTAATTATGAGCGTTGGTTTATTAGTTAACGGTGGTTAACGTACAGGACATAGAAAAGTCACTTACAGTTTCCTCGAAGGTCAAACTGAAACGCTGTGAAGTAACGGAAATCTAGTCCCTCAACGTTAAAAACGGAGTTAAACCCAACTCACTCACCCACTCACTACAACAGCAATGAACCCAGTCCTACCAAACTCACTTAAGATAAGGATACATTTAGATACCGCAAGGCAATTACTGATCTCATTTTGACATCACTATCGTTCGTGGAAATAACCTAAAATGCCAGCGTGTTTATGGGAACCTCGACCAATGTGAAATGGGTCGAATTCAGTGAATAGACATTAGAACTGAAGTCAAGTCGAGTAATAAAAATATAATTACTGTCTTTGGAAAAAAAAAGGTTATGGAAAAAATAACAAGTCACTGTTAACCTAGAATGTAATGAATCTCTGAATGTTCAAAGAGGTGCACAGTTTCTTAGGGTCGTGTATGACTTCTGTGCTTCACTACGTAAAGGAGATATGAAAGGCATAGAGAACGAGATTGCTAAATAAAAACTTAAAAGAGTGCATTTCACCTGTGTATATTTATTTGAAACTGTGTACATGTGAGCTCATTCCATTCTTTTGTCATATAAGGCAAAGAGTATTATTATAATTATCAGCAGGTCAGTAGATGCATTTTGCTCAGCTTTCAGTTGTCGAGGAATGGAATATGTTCTTTGACCAAACACACATCTTCTGACTTAAGACTCAGATATCAATGCTATGTACATTTGTTGTTCCCAGTAGTTCCGAAACTTTAAACCATGATCTGTTTTTCATCTTGGTGTGGATGCGCGTGTACGGGACAGCAAATAACATCTGGGTTTATCCGTTGCAAGATCCCAATGGTTTGGTGTTACTTTGCTTCGATTCCACAAAACGAACTCTCTTCAATAACATTAACGTTGTGGCTAAAAGCGTACATAATGAACTTTGAAGATTTCACAGATGATCGTAAAATGCAGTACGCTTGCTTTGTATCAATACGATTAAATGGTTACATGCATTGTTTGAATGTGTTTGATGTGAAGTTGTAAAAGGATACCTCCATATCTGATTTGGAACTTCTGGATCGAGTTTTATAAACTTTTATGGATTAGACAGATGCCCATATAATCGTTCTGTTTCAATGAGTTATGTCACGTGAGGTCGGGCCTCTCACTGTCAACCAAGCCCTTGCTAGATACACTGCTGTGTTCACATTCACATCTCTAGTGCATGGGTCGGGCCTCTCACAGTCAACCATGCCCCGACTAGATACACTGGTGTGTTTACATCCTGATGCATGTAAGTGGATCAATTCTCCCACTGTCAACCATGCCCCGACTAGATACACTGGTCTGTTTACATCCTGATGCATGTTAGTGGATCAATTCTCCCACTGTCAACCATGCCCCGACTAGATACACTGGTGTGTTTACACCCTGATGCATGTAAGTGGATCAATTCTCTCACTGTCAACCATGCACCGACTAGATACACTGGTGTGTTTACATCCTGATGCATGTAAGTGGATCAATTCTCCCACTGTCAACCATGCCCCGACTAGATACACTGGTCTGTTTACATCCTGATGCATGTTAGTGGATCAATTCTCCCACTGTCAACCATGCCCCGACTAGATACACTGGTGTGTTTACACCCTGATGCATGTAAGTGGATCAATTCTCTCACTGTCAACCATGCCCCGACTAGATACACTGGTGTGTTTACACCCTGATGCATGTAAGTGGATCAATTCTCTCACTGTCAACCATGCACCGACTAGATACACTGGTGTGTTTACATCCTGATGCATGTAAGTGGATCAATTCTCCCACTGTCAACCATGCCCCGACTAGATAC